TTTCATATCGACAAAACGCAGGGAAATATGTTACACTAAACACCCGGCAAAAATCAATTTTTTCGAATATTTTATTGGCATGTTTTACACTGCTCAGCCGCACAAGGCACCAATTCGTATAGCTCGAAAATCTTAAATTTGCTTCGAGATTAATGGTCTTTATGAAAGATCCGTCAAATCCCAGTTTCTAAAATTCCTAAGAAATTTTTAATTTAAATCTTTAGAAAATAATTTAACACAGAAGAAAAAGCAACAATACACGTTTACAGTGTAGAAATCATTCCTCTTTTCACTGGAGAAATTTTGTATTATTTCCCTAAAGTAAGGTTATGATAAAGATAAGAGGGTTTTAACTCCTTAGTAGATTCCAAAAGCTGAACTTCCTTAAAATTATTACTTTAACATTATAAAGATAGCTTTTAAATATTGAAAGACAATAAAATATATAGATATCTTTTTACATAACCTTAATTGAGGAACATATATAGTATTATATAACGCAGTTTAATTTTGAAACGTCAGTATAAAGCAGATGATGTTCCTAAGTAACATAATCAATAAATTTAAATATTTAAATTTTTTTCTTTGCAAAAAATTATTTGAACTGTATTTACTAAAACTAAATATTTATTATGTAAACAAAGAATTTAAATACAAAAGCAAAAATGTCACAATCGCGTCTGGCGCACCGAATTAATGTTTAATTGGCGCCAAAATGCTATTGACTACTGATTAGTTTTTTGTAATCTTGATATTGGTGATGACCGCAAAGCTTAAATAGCGCATTAAATTTGAAAATTGATCAGCGGAAAGATTACAAAAAACAAATTTCAAATAACTCGAAAGAAGGTGTTAAGGGGCTTATGAGAAAAGTGGAAAAAAATACAAATACAAAAATTTAGAATGTGTTCTGTATAGAAGTATATATGTATGTTTATATAAATATTGAGATTGGCAAATATATTGTGTATATAAAGGGTAACTTTTAGAGCTATAAAACTTTATTTCGAGCTAAATAAATAAATTTTCGAATATTTAAACATTTTTAGTTTGCAAATTTTATGGATACATCAAAATGTTTGACCAGAGCATGTTTCGAGTATATAATTATCGCGAAAATCTTGTTCTGCTCCACTAGAGAGTCTCCTCTGGCATGCTTGCCACCCAATTAAAACATTTTAATTAAAAATATACTAAATCGTAGAAAAAGATTTCACAGAACGCAAGTTTTGAAAAAAAATGTTCATGATTCTTGCAGATTGTTACTGTGTAAGCTTTTATTTTTTATATACCTGTCAAACGGCAAACAGAACAAAAATGGCAAAAATTATATAGTATTTTGACAATTGGTTTGACTGCTGACAGCTTACCCTCTAGGAAATTCTCTGCACCTAAAATAACACCCTATACATTTTAATTTAAAAATTAAAATTAATTTTAAAATGTACGAACATGCGACTTTGACTTATATATTGTAATATAAATACATGTATATGCGCGTGTGTGCTAAAGTCAATATATTCTTTATTTTTCGCATTCCTGTCATTCATGAGAGTATTGGTTTAACAGATTTTTATTTATTTATCGATGTTTATCTCATAAGTCAACGAACTGCACGTGGTAGCATTAAATTTTCATCAATTAATTCTTAACTCGCAAATATGCGTGAATAATTGATTTTACACTCTCCCTTTCAGTTGTTTGACATATTCACGATACTAAGTACTATACACTTATTTTTTTATAAATACTTTATACTTATTTATAGATATATACCTACACTTCACTTGTTCACATCGGCATATGATAATACAAATGACATTGAGTCATCGTTTATTTCAACGAAACGTGAAGAATTTTAAAAATGTGTAGTGATTATTGACCGATTAATGCATGATTTGGATTTTGTGCATATATAATTTATATTTACCGATAGCTGGCGGAGATTAGCTAGTAGGTGCTGAGAAACAGAACTTCTGAAAATTGTCCATCGCTCTCTTTCTCTGTGAGCGGCCAATCAGGCCATAAGGAAGTGCGGTAAATAAAAAGGAGACCAATATATTAGTTTCAACAGTTGAGGCAAAATAATCCGAAAGAACTGGGATTTATATTCAAATCTAAATGAACAACCTGCTTTGTTGCTATAGCAACAACAATTTCAAGAAAAATGCTCATATGAGAGGTCAGGCATAATAATTTCAAGATACACTGCTACAATCAGTATACATTTAACAAAATATATGTATCTAACGATATTCATCTTTGAAAACATTGCAATACTGTGCAGTTAAAATATATATATACGCTGCAATTCACTGCACACCTATTCTATTTGCTAACTACTGAACAACACTATTATCTCACGTCATAAAGATTTACACCATTGATTGTATTATTCAATTAAAGCCAACTGCATTGCAAATTAAATGCGTATTAATCGCTCTAATGTCGGCGATTAACAAACTGACTTGATTATAATGGACAAATGCGACCCCGTGTTTGAGTGGGTCGCTCCGACACCGCCATTTATAGGCAGCTTAACGAAGCCGAGGCGCATTTTGCGCGTGTTAATGCGCTCATGTGGAGCGCTGTCGGTAGTGAGTGCCTTGTACGCGCATACACGCCTACACAAGGCGGATGGATGCAACAAACGCCAAAATGCTGTGTAATCGCCTTGTTAAGTTAATTTCTACAAAGATTTCAATTTCAGTGGTTTCTACGCGATATGACGCTTCGTGTTTTGCCAACAACAGTGAAATTATTGGGAATGACCTAAAACCATGATTTGACTCGTTGTATATAATTAAATAGAGATTTCTAACAAAAATAAAATTTTTTCCTTACAAAAAAATTATTTTTGAATATAACCATAAAAAAATCTTTGGCTGCCATATATATAATTACCCGAACTTTTTTTTTTGAACAGCTGCCTAGGCATAGCCGTATTTATTATGTGGTGAATGCAAATTATATTGTAGAAGAATCAAGAGACAAGAAAACAATTTACAGGTTCTTGAGCGTTAGCTCTGAAAATTCGCATACATTCCACACATAAATTTATGCAACGAAAAAATTTTTGGAAAAACATGAATTTTTAAATTTCATGCCGACTTTGATAAATTACAATGTAACATATGATATCTGAATGGAATTTAAGCAATTAAAAATCAATACCTGTATAGAGAATTAAAGTTATTAAGTGTTTTTTTTTGTTCGCCGACAGAGGTCTTAACTTCTAAATTACTCCCTCACTTCTTTTTCTCATATATTTTAGTTTGTCTCATTTTTGCTTTCTATATCTCAATTTAACTTAACGTTATAGAGTCTATCTTGCGAAAAATCATCTCTCAAAGCTCGATTAGAGCCTCATTGAATTCAATTCTAAAGAGGATATTTTACTACTCATAACATGTCGCCACGATATACTTCGATCACTCGAATTTCTGTTCAGAAAATAATATAAAGTTCAATTCACACCTGATCGAATTTAATTACTTCGTCGAAGGCAGTTCATTTAAAATTTAACTTTTTGCAAGCTTTTTATGCTCATACATTTCGTTCTCTATCATTTTTCGTTTAAAAAAATATATTTTTTCTCTCTTCAACTCTCTATAACACTCTCTGAAATCGAATTTTGCTTTTCGTCACTGCCTACAAGCTCTTCGTGCTGAAACAATTCATTATCTCCCATTGTTTGAAAATATATCTCTCTCCTCCTTAACTTTCTATAACGCTCGATAAGTGCCATTTGAGCTTTTTAACTTGGTTTCTATCATTTTTGCCTGGATATGGATCTTTATCTCTTTTAACTCTCCATAAACGCTCTATGGAAGCTCGTTTATTAGCTGATCGGGTTTGATAATATTTTTGGCTTCAAATTATACAAAGTGGACAATGCAAACCACTGCTCACAGGTATTTGAATTATGGCACAATACTCTCAGAAAGTAAGAGAGGGGGGACATAATTGATTTATAGACCTTTTAATGTTCAATTTACCTTGATCCTGAGTGATGAAAAAGGCTGCTTCTACATTTCTCTTTGCCTTTTCTTCATTTCTTTAATAATTTTTTGTTGTATTTAGTACTTTTTTTGTTGATCTTCGGCGCTGCTGGAATTTTGTTTACCCAGCTCATCAACAAGATAACGTCACGAATTGTACTAATTAGTTTTTTTACTCACATACTTTTACCCTTCTTTCTTCCATTTTTCCGACTTCTCGTCTACTCCACACTCGCTTAGTCGCTCGAGTGTCTTAACGTGCTCGCTTAGTGCCGTTTCACACAGGGACTCAAAAGAGTCTCATACCAGTTTATTGCGGGCGAGGGGACGACGAGGAAAGACGAAGGGACCGTGCCACTCGTGTTCGGGTGGCACGCTTTGTGTTCTTGTTCGCAACAGCTCGCTGCTACCCTTTTCAGCATTCCTTTTCACTTTCAAATTCTTTGAATGGTTGCAAGAGCGCTCGGTTTCAAATGAATTCGATCGCAAATTTGAGTTCTGTTATCTATTTTTGTATGTAATATGCAAATACGTATGCATAGAATAATAGAAATATTATGACAAATTGTAAATAAGGAGAAAATTAAGATATAGATTATGGAGTAAAGAAATTATGAGTTTTTAATACGGAGTAAAGAAATTATGAGTTTTTAATACTTAAAGATTAGGAAATTCCTATTATAAATTTGGCCTTGAAAATATTAGTAGCGGATATTCAATACATTCTTGTGGATTAGGGAATTCCTGTCTTTAGTATTTCTTTGAAACTATTTAGCGGGTAGGTACTTGTATTATGCATATTGTTCTACCATATTCATGGTAATTCATTGCAAGCAAAATGTGTGACCATCATCTCAACATACAAATGAAATACGCAGCACGCAGTGTTGCGCAGTCGAACCGCACAAATATTTACGAAAATTTTGTGAAAAGGAATGCAGAAAAACTAGACTCGAGTTGCTGGACTCTTTTTGGCCGTGTGAATGCCCAGAGCGACACCAAAAGAAAATTTGAAAAACATCAGACTCTTTTGAATCCCAATATGAAACGTGCAAAAGGCGAGTATGTTTATGGGGCTCGCTTTGCCGGCGCGTTATTAAACAAAATGAAATGCTAAAGAACAATAATAACCACAACAACTGAGTAAACGCAATAATCAATAGCAGAGAGTATCAGCATTTGGTTTAAATATGAGCGTCAGGTCGGTATGAAGTTCAGTCGAAAACTCGATCTCAACGTGAACAGATCAACAAGTTGAATTATAAAGTCAAAGTTAGTAGAAAGCTAAAGCAAATTTACACAGCTTATAAAAGTAAATAAAATTGTGTGTTAAAAATAAAAAAAAAACTGTCGAAAAAAATTCTTTGAATTGCAAGAAAATAATAAAAATATTCAGAATTGAGTGCAAAAAAGCATTTACTAGGAAAAAAAATATTTTTACAAAAAACACTGTCAATTATATTCAACAACAAAAAATGTGCTCACTAAAAGTGTGTTTAATCTTCGTCGTGGGTATTATTGCTGTGAGCTGCATAAGCAGTACAAATGCTGCCGTGTTCACACAACCCGCTGCCTTCCATCCTGGTGAGTAACTAAGTTTTATTTCAAACAAAAAATATATATACTATATGTGTGTGTAATAAACATAACAAATTATCATTTTTTTTGCAAAAAAAAAGAAATGAAAATGGACTTAACCACTTTTTTTGATAAGCACTGAAATAAATTTAAAATATTTATAAAATGTAAAGCAAAGTAACATATGTGTTTGCACATATGTAGTTTCTTAAACATTGTTGTGAATTAAGGATATTTATAAAAACTTTTCACTTTTTGAGATTAAGCACTGAATTATAGAAAACATTTCGTGAAAACAAAGCAAAGTGAGCTTAATAGCCTTTGTAAAGAAATTTGTTAACTTTTTGGAAAAGATAATTGTACTGAATTATCCCCTTTTTGAGATAAAGCAACAAAATTAGTTAGAAAATGTTATAAAAATTAGCATATAAATCCTATGTATGTGTGTTTAATGCTTTATTGACAAATTTGTAAAAAAATCATCTTTTACATAAGTGACGCGTAGGCAAGTATATTGCGCGTTAGATAGTAATTTAAAAAGTACAAATAAATATATATAAAAATATTTAAAAACATAAAAAAATATTTAAAGAAAATATTTAAAAAATAATAATTTAAAAACATAAAAAAAGTATTTAAAGAAAATGTTTAGCTACAAAGGTTAAATTGAAAAAACGTTACAACAATTTTTTTAAAATTAAATATTAAAGTAGTTTAAACTTTTTTAGTTATATTGGCTTAATTAATTTACTATATACATATAAAACAGATCAAATCAACTGAAAACTAGCATAAGTATACACAAATTGTCATATTCTTTGGCATTCACTACCTTTTTTCCACATCCTAAGCCGTTTTCCTTGACATACTCAACAATTTTATGTACAATTGTTCACATAAAACCAATTTTTTAATTATTCTAAACGCATGCACAAATTTTGCCGGCACAATAAGCTGTACGCGCATCCTTGACTTTCATTTTTTCCATCAATATTTTTACTTCGTTCTTCCAAGCAACATTGTTAACGCATCAGTATATTATTTTTATTTTATTATTATTCGATTTTAAGTTTTGAATACTCAAAAAATTTACCGGTATTTGCTGTTGACTAATCAGCGAAATAAAATTCAATAAAACACAAAATTAAATTATCAACGTGACTGCGACTGCAAATATTCTAAAACTCCTTGCTTGAAATGCAGTTAGAAAAACCCCAAAGCACGACCACATTTCAAATGGAACGGAACTGAAATCGTAAAATTCCCGCCTCAAAGCTGTTTTGTGCACTGATTCATGGCTCTAAGCAATATATGTTTGTATGTTTATGTAAATACTTTTTAGGTAAACCGAAAAATTTGCATTAGACAACAGTGGACGCGTCAGAAATAAAAATAAAATTCATAAGAATAAATAAAAAATAGAAAAACCAGAATAAAATAAAAACAGTTTGAATTTTGCTTTTTTGTTTTGGCAAAAAAAACGCACACACTTGCACACATATCTGCAAATATAATATATCTGCATTATTGCTATAGTAATTGGCGGAGCTGACGTCAAAGCGCTCGGCATACAAGTGATAAACGATAACCGCGTAAACAAGAACCGGTAAAACTACACCGGCGAGCAAAAAACAATACGCAATAACACCAAAAAAGCGGCTGCAGAAGAATTCCACTGCCATACATGTAGAATGCGGCTCAGTTTTTACGCGCTTACATATGCAAAATACACACCATTTTTTATTAACTAATTTTCTAAATAATTCGCTTTTTGTTTCTTATTTATTAGTGTTATCGATCTTTTAAGTCGCAGTAGCACCGCTCGCTGTCTGTTTAGAATAAAACAACAAAAGTATGTAACGTTATTTTATTGTTATTGTTGGATTTTTAGCGTCACTGTGTATTTTGTTAATTATATTTTTTTTTGTTTTTTTGCTAATTTATGCTGCTATTCGGCTGAAATCAAGCATGCCAACTAGTTACAATAAACTAAATAAATAATTTTATGGCGACAGCGCGACGCCTAGAAGCTGAAGGTCGTTTGACAAGGTCTTATTTTTTTTTCTTGTTGCTGGTTTTGTATTTTTTTTTGTGCTGGGTTTTACAAATGCCATAACATATTTGGTTTGCTGCTTTTATGGTACAAGAATTGTGGTTGAATTTTTTTTGCGATTTTGAACTAATTTTGTTTTAATTATTAACATTTTTGTTAAAAAGTTTGGTAAAAAAACTTTGTTCGACATTCAAAAATATAATTATTCAGCATTAAAAATAATATTTCAAAAATAATTGTTTATTTGTATAACTTAAAACCATTTTGTATGAGAAAAAAATTATTTTTACAGAAAAGCAAGGACTTCATAAAAATAATTTTTATAAAAAAATTTATAAAAAAAAAATTTATATTAAAAAAATTAATATTTTGATATAATATTTGTTTTTATTTCAATTAGAAACATTTTCCCAAAAACATATAAATGCAAATTGTAAACAGTAAAGTTTTCCAAATTAATACAAAAAAAAATATTCTCTTTTATTAAACTTTTTATTTATTATTTTTAATTTCAAATATAAATTATTTTTCAAATTTACCTTTTTTGATTATTCAGTAACATTTTTTGGTGCAAATTCAATAATTTTTTGAATGTTTTGTTGTAATAATTTTTTTTAGTTTTTTCTGTTTACTTTTCTAAAATTAAGTTCTTACAAGTTTTTAATGAATTTGTGATAATTATGCACATGCGTTTCTTCCTATATATTTACATGTATACATACAAATGATTATGACAGAATTCAAATTTTAACATTTTGCGCATGCGCAAATTATAAAAATAGCACTGAACTCACACGCCATATGTGGCAGACGTCTACAGCGGACGGCTTGTCACGGTTTTTGCATTTCTTGATTTTTTTTCTATTTATTTTATTGATTGTTTTCAATAGCGCTGTCAATATTACTGACGTAGCAATCTATTTCGATACTTCTGCTTAATGAATTCTGTTTCGATATTAATGAAATTGTTGCTTATAATGAGTAATCAGTAGTTTGCTAGTACATATATATACTATTTATGCACATATGATTGAAACATATGTATGTACAATATATAAATTATATATATTTATTTGCTTGTTTGCTTATTCATAGCCTATTTAAGTGGGAGTGCTATACTATTTGATGAATTAAATTCGGAATTAGGGAAAGATATCCTAAAAAATCATTAAAAAAATGTTTGAGATAACACTGTTAAACGATAATTTCGAAACAAGTTTAATTAGTTTTTGTGTTCATTCTATTTTGTCTTTATAGGTTTAAAATTTTTTTTTTAAGTTTTTATGTTTTTAGATTTAAAAAAAAAATATTACAACAAATTTTACACTCTAAATAAAATTTTATTTGAAATATATCCATTGAAATAAAATTACAGTTGATCTAATGCAAAACCCTGTTTTTACTATAAAAAAGTTCGTGTCTTAAGTCTTTTTTTAATAACAAAACAACATTAATTTGCAAAAGTTCGTGCCTTAAGTCTTCTGTTAGATAAAACAAAAAATTACAGATATGATTAATTGAAGAGTATTAATTCAATTTAGTGGTAAATAAAAACGATTTTATCATTTTAACAACAAACTAGGTAGTTTAGTAAACAAAACACTAAATATCAGGTTGCTGAAGTCATAAATAAAACTATTAAAATTGAAGCAAAAACTACTAAAGAATATTCAGACTATTAAACGCATTTCAATCAAATAAAATGTATGGCTACTGTGCTTTTTTAATGAAAGAATTGGTATATTTTTGATTATTAAGAAATATATCACTACTTTATCACAAAAGTGCGGATATTAAGAAAAAATAATAAAATTTTCACTCCAGCAAGCTGTATAATTCACACTTAACGAAAATTGATTAAAAAACAACATATGTACATATATTCAACCTTCAAGTGGCAAGCTCGTTGCTTAAGTCTTTTATTTTGTATTACAAATGCGCGCACAAACATGCGCAACCGCAAAGGAAGCACTTCCTGCCGCGAACACAAACATGCAAACACAACTGCATAAAATTTTGCATATAAACACACACACAGAAATATTTCAAAGGCACCCAATGCCATAAAGTGCAACAACAACACCTGCTGCTTGGCATGTAAAATTTGCACACAAAAACATTAAGCGTTACACTCGTTTTCAGCTTTTAATTGTTGTTATTGTTGTCATTATTTTTTCATAATACATATAATTACTTCCTCATCTTTGAGCTGCGCCGGCAGCAACAGCAACAAATTTCATTGAGCGAGCATAATAAATCGACATGCAATCAATATGCGTACAAGCACACACTATATATATAATATATTTACATACATTTATATAGCCGATATGCATATTTATCGCATGAGTAATAAAACAATTTATTAACTTCCGCTTTCTCGCTCTCTCTCTCTGCTCTTTTCAGCGCATCGTGGCAAGTGCTTCGATAAGATCACCCGCCGTGCTATGCTGCCGAACAAGGAGTACAAGCCGAAAGGCATTTGCGCCGTCATGACATGCGACATACACAGGCAGACGATCAATATTGAGACCTGCCCGTACGTGGAGATGCCCGGCTGTGAAGAGTTGCCCAGCGATCCCAATTGGGCATTCCCTAAGTGCTGTGCACAATTTAAGTGCACGGACTTCAAGACCGGCAAGGAGTTCATTGTGTCGGCGTAGAGGCCATTAAGCTGCGCTGAGCGGAATCATAAATAAAATAAAATAATAATGATAAGAATACTCAAGTGCCGCATGCCACGCGTTGAAGGCCGGGAAGGAAGTGTTGGGTGCAGTATGGCTGAACGGAGGGCGGGTGTGAAAAAGATGGCGAGTGTGTGCGCGTGTGGCACGAAAACGTGATTTTATGCTTTTACTTACCATTACTACCTTTAACTACGATTAAAACTACAAAGTACTATTTTTAAATGTGTGAATCGTCTACGAAGTGTGCGTGCCTGCAGCGTGTAATCTCGGTTGAGAAGCTACTACTTTTGCTTTAACTATGTTATTCTATATTTTTTTTGTTATTTAATAATTGTCTCACTCATTACAAAACTTCATTAGTGTGTAAGATTATTTATTGAAAAAAAAATTGTAAATACTCGTTTTTCGCCTTTTATTAAAAAAAAATTCGTTTATTTTTGTAATTAATAATTTGAATTTTTGTATATTTTTTTTTTTAATTTTTGCAATTGTTTTTATTGATTTCTGTAATAAATTTTTTTATTTTTATAATTTATTTTTTCTTAAACTTTGTAATATTTATTTACTTTCTTAATTTTTTTCATAATTTTTTTTAATTACTTTTTTTACTTAATTATTTTAATTAAATATGTTTAAAAAGTTTTAACTAGTATTTTTTATTTAAAAATATTTGGTTTTTTATTTTTCTTATATTTGTATGTGTGTTCGCATGTTTGTTAATAATTTTAAGTTAATTATTTAAATTTTGTAAAATAAAACTCTCAACTCATTAATTGTGGGTTAGCGTATGAATTGTAGTATTTATAATATAAGATTTGGAAATTAATTGAAATTAAAAACAAAATATAAAATTTAAATAAAATACAAAACATAATTATCAAATTTTTTTATTTAACGTCAGACTATACAGTTATAAATTGCAGAGCAAAAATGCAACAAAGAATTTCGCCTGATAAAATTTTCAGCGATTTTTTTAAATATTAATGTCCAAAAACAATTTTTTTCGAATTTTGAACTTATAGGTTGCAATAACCCATTCTGATAGCAAATAAAGAAATAAATTGATCTACAATATTATTTGACATTAAATTGTACTAAAAATTCTCAAAGTTGATAAATCTAAAAGCAACTGATTGGCGACTATTCGAAAACATCTTTGGATTTTTTATTAATGAAAAATAACCTTAATATAAAGTGAGTCCCTAAAATAAAGGCCCTACAGTAACCTGTCAGGTAAATGTACATTTTATGTTGGGTCAGTTAACATTAATAACTAACCACTTAAGTATTAAAGCGAAGTCATGCTGAAATAAAAAGTATTAATAAAATCATTAAAAGAATCAACAGTTTTTGAAACCCTTAAAGGTTCATGCAAAACCCTACTGTCTAATTACAAATAATTTCTATGAATTAACGATTTCTTGATAACTTGGCCTTAGTTTGAATAAATCTTGATAATATATTGGATATGAATTATTTGATATAACTGGCAAATAAAAGTGAAATGTTTAACCTTTTTCATCATCTCCTGATATTTACTCTGTAATTCATATGACGTGGCACCTATTCTGAAAACTTCAAAAAAAGCTTTTGTTGCCGAAAACATGTCATTAAGTCTAAGGAAGCCTGCCCGTTCAGTCAGTTTTCACAACTTTATGTTTTGCTCTGATATCTCATAAATAAAAAAATTAATTTATTAAATTAAGCAAGATGCCAGTTCTTTGTAAGACTTCCTCTAAAATTAGAATTCTCATCGATTTTAAAAAGTTCTGGTAGTGGTAGGACTCTCTATCTCTTCCGAAAGCTTCAACCTCTTAATTCTAATTTTGACTTCCAAGTTATAGATCCTTTAACGCAACTTTTCATATTCTTACTTTAACGAATCCATGATATTGCTTCAGAGTGTCCTATTTGACACTAATGAATATGTATCATAAAAATCATTTTCTTATTGTATAAATATTGTTGTTTTTTATTTCTTCCTAATAAATTTATATAAATTTCTACATTCAACTGACTCTTTGCACTATAGCTTGCCCTAAAATTAAAGCGAGTCATCATGATTCCAGATTATTTCATTGCCTAAGGCAAAGTTGATTTCCACGCAAAAATTGCAAATATTCACTTATTCACACAACAACAACACTTATTAGTAATTCAACTTCATACTCTTTTGGTACAAAGTTCGGTTTGAAGCAATAAATATTCTTTAAAACCAATGACTCCGCGAAAACGCGTATATTTTTGATTGTTTGCTCAAAGGTTATAATTTCAAATGAGTTAAAAGTAAATTGCAGATGAGTCAGCAATATTAATAGAAAGTACTGCTGTGCATGAATCAAGATGATTTCTATATTTTTTGATTAAGTACTTTTTTCTTTTCATTCTTTGAAAATATAATGTAAATTATAGTTATCTAGAATAAAAAATATGAAAAATATGAAATAAGAGATATAATTATATAATAAAAAATCCGTTTTAAAAAAATTAACTTGAGCATTCTAAAACAAAAAATTAAAAATCAATATTTTATGTAAAAAAAAAAATTTTTTAGGTAAATAATTAATATTCTTCTGATAATTTAAAATAAGTAATACTTAAGATAATAAATATTCTTTAAGAATTAAAATATAAATTATTGAATAAATTATCATAAAAAATTACCTGAAACATAACCATAAGAATTGTTTTACTAAAAAAAATTTTTTTATAATAAGATTAATTTTAAATTTTAGGAAATATATTTTTATTTTTCGCTATCGCACAAGTATAGCATATAGCTGCCAGAGAAGTTGGCCGATCAGACTTCAGATGGGACAACCATCACATATAGTTATCATATAAACTGATCGTTCAAATTCAAGTCCATGTATCGAAAATTTATTAATTTGACAAGAAATTTGGCACAGATTATTATCTAAATCATCACTACAATCTCCAAACATATTGATAAGAATTTTTTATACCCAATTATGGGTAAAAATAATTTAAGGGCGATCGGAGGTCGGGAATATAATAAGTTTAATGTGCATATCTCCTGTACCACTGAAGCTATAATAACAAAAGTCACTGAGAACAAATGATTTTAGCATCTCTATCAACGGTGTGAAAATGGGTGAAATCGGGTGACAACCCCGCCCACTCCCCATATAACGGGACTGTTAAAACCTAATAAAAGCGCGATAAATCAAGCACTAAACACGCCAGAGACATTAAATTTTATCTCTGAGATGGTATAAATTGGCTTTATAGGAACCGCGTTCAAAATTAGTCAGTGGGCGTGGCACAGCCCACTTTTAGGTGAAAACCCATATCTTGGGATCTGCTTAACCGATTTCAACCAAATTCGGTACATAATATTCTTCTTATATTTCTATGTTATAGTACGAAAATGGACGAAATCGGATTACAACCACGCCTATTTCACATGTAACATCATTTTAAATGTTATCTGATTTTTTCACTTTCCAGTATGCAAATCAAGCAACAGGTACTGAATATGTGGACCCCAGTGATTATAGTTGACTTTTTACCGAAAATATCGGTCAACATAGAACAAGCCGGCAAGATCCACAAAAAAATCTAAAACGAGTATACCGTTTGACTTTGCGATAGTATAAAATGTTTGGTTACGTCCGAACTTAGCCCTTCCTTACTTGTTTCAATATTATTTGTTTTATTAATTCTTTCACAAGCAAAATACTATTGTAATATATTTTTAGGTTATATAGATTCAAATGCCAAAAATTTCAAATGTTAATTTGTTTAAATTCAAAACAAAAAATGTAATGTAATTAAAAATTAATAATTGAAAAAAAAAATTAATATAATTAAATAAATTAAAAAAAGTTTAAAAATAAATTGAATAGTAGTAAAAAAGGAAATAAGAAAGTAAACTAGCCTGCTTTACAAAGAAATAATTATTTTATTCTGCAAAACATTTGCCTTTTTCCAACCATTTCTTTTGAACCAAGTTTGCAACTTAAGTCTTCAGTTTTGTTGTTATTAAACACATTTTTGTTTAATATGTGTGCTGCTCAATATACATATACTTGTATACCTCTAAATAATGTATTCATATTTATTATGTATGAATACATCTTCTATATCAAAATTGCATAAATAAATATTTTTTTATACGCTAAAATAATTTTAATGATAACCTTTCGTTAAAAAGATGTTAAAAGCACGCTATATAAAGCATAGAACGCAATTTATCAAGCTATAGCTGGCTTATGCTAATTGCCGCAAATTTTCGCTATGCTTAGTCTCATTAGTCTTTCTCTTAACTGTCGAATTAAAGCTGGGCGTGTTTACTTACAGGTTTTTTGCGAAGTGAAAGGTCGTTCATTAGAGAGCTCAGCTAAACTGCTTTACAAATAATTAGTAAAATAAAACAAAAAGTAAATAGTATTATCTTGCTATCTATGGAGACTAAAAATGTATTAATTTTTTTTCGATGAAAACATAAATTTTATAATATATGATTTTATGGTGGTTTTCGGTGGCTAAATTTAATTGGAAAAGTCACTACTTATGTATTGTATATACATATATGTAAATGGTCTCAATAAGTAATTTTTCTAAATACTTTTTAATATTTTAGGAGCCGTTTTAATTGTATTTCCAAATCTGAAAGAGATGAGTTGTTGCATAGTAGGTGTTTCAGTCAGTCATTGAGTCAAAGTTCAAGTTTACATTTTCGATTAGCCGAATATACATAAATGGATAAAATTGTTAATTTCTTGTTTCCTAGACATGAAATAAGAGCCGAGGAAACGACGCAGCCGTCTTTACCATCGAAAAGCTGCAACAGGTGGAAAGGAAACTGAAATCAAACAAATCACTTGGATAAGACGACATACCAGCGGAGGTACTAAAGAGAATAGCCGAAAACCGCCCAAAACTAACACAGCTGGTAAGCTTCTCGAAAGATTGCTGAAACAAGGATAGTATAAGCAATCACAAGGGCAGAGGGCTTATCATCCAGACAATACGGTTTCATACCTGGCAAATCAACACAGGGGGCAATTGAGGAGTGTATAAGAAGCGAACAGAGGATGGAACAAACTCAGACGAATTGTTTTACTCGCTATCCTGGACGTACGGAACGCCTTCAACGGTGATCAATGGAAAAACATGGTTGAAGTATTAGAGGAAAACATTAAAATACCGACACATCTCAGACTAATGGTGAGGAGCTTTATGAAAGCTGATGGCAGGTGATGATCAGAGCACAAATGTGACTTGATGGGCGAGGTCTTAAACTTGCCACCGAAAAAATCGAACTGGTATTGCTAGACAGAGGACAGACTCTAATTACAAAAAAAGTTTTATCAACTACCTGGGTGTAAGATTAAACTCCAGGCTTACCTACTGAGCACAAATCCAAAACGGTGCGGAAAAGGCGTTAAAATAACTTTCCAACTTAGACAGCTGCTCTAAGGGTAGTATCGGCATACTGTACATTTTCAGGTTAAGCTGTATACGTAGTAAGCGAAAGCACACCAATATATCATTTGATCCAAAGAAAATGTGGACGTTGAAGAAACAAGGAACAAATGTCATCACCACAAAAGAGGAAATAAGAACGATATCTTGGAAGGCAAACTCATTGGAAGCACGGCGTCATGGTAGATGGACGGTCAGGCTAATAAGAATCTAAAATGAGTGGTCCAACAAGAAACATGGTGAGATGGATTTTGATACTACACAGATATTATTCGAGCAAGGATGTTAAGGAAATACCTATGTTTATAAAATGGGAAAAGAGCCGTCTCGTATATACAACGATGAAAGCGGACAACATCATAACTGTCATGCTTCAAAACGAGGCAAACTGGAAGAACATTAAAAATTACATTGATATATGGAACGCCAACCAGAAGTTCGACGATTCGATGATTATTATACGGTATTTACAGCAAACTTAATGTAGGCATAAATGTGTTTTATGTCCTCAAAAATCCAAGTCTTCAAAAATTATGGGATAACCTTTTTATGGATAAAATTGGGAATTAAAGTTAAAAATAAAAACTTTATTATTTCAAACATGCCCAATATTTTTATTTTTTAATTTTTAATATTTTTAAAATTTTTTCTAATTGTGTCAATTCTATTTTTAAACATCCAGTATTTTTTATTTAATAAATGAATTTTTCAATTAGTATAATTTTGTTTATTTGATTAATAATAATAGTTTTTTTTAATTGTATTTTACATTCTCTTAATTTCTTTAAATTTATAGTTTTTTATTTGTTTGTTTTGTTATTATTATTTTTCTTTTGTTTTGTAAGCTTCAAAGCTAGCCATATTCCCCGTGTCACACTTTTGAGCGACTATATTGATGAAATGGTATTCCCCACTTTCTAAACACAAACCATACAATGGAAAACCGAACAGAAATTGATATTTTTTCAAGGTGTGGTGTATCAGCAAGATTTCAAAGCAACAACATAACCAAATTGGTATGATTATACAAATCAAAACAAAAATATTTAAAAATTGGACATGCATTAATTGTGAAAAAGCACGCAAGCAAATCCGTCTCTATCGAAGTGTGCTGCAGAAATCAAAACAAAACATGTTGATGAAATCAACACAAAATAAAAGATTGAAATTAAAAAAAAGTTGCAATTTATTTCTGAGTCTTTAACTCAAAACAAAAAATACAGCAATAACAACAACAATCACATAACCACCATAACTAATTTAATTAATAACTAATTTGTCTGAATTAAGCATCGCGCCAACCTGGAGCCGCCAATGCTTGGGAAAAAGGTCACCAGCAGCGAGCGAGTCGAATGCAAAATAAACGAAAGAAATGAAAAGAGGCAAAAAAGCGGTGGCAAAATCCAAGTGAACCGGCGCCGCAAATGCAAATTTTGTACAAGACCAAATTGGAAATTACCAGCGACAGCGCCAAAGTTGGATATCGCACAACAAAAACAATAATAATAATAGCATCACAAACAGTCCACCGTGCAATCAGATGAACAAAACTATAACAATGCCAACAACAACAACAACATCAATAGCAATAAACTGAAGCAACAGTAACAACAACAATAACAATGCCAACAACAATAGCTACCGACTAACAATAAACTGAAGCAACAAAAGCAAATACAATAACATACTACTAATAAACAGCTAAGGCAACGCTTGCTGAAGCGTTAGAAATATCCTAATTTGGGCACATTCATCTCTTTTTTATGTTTTTGTTTTTTGGTGTGCATTTTGTTTTTTACTTTTCTTTATGTGTTTGACAATTTGACAAGAAATTGTCTGCCTGCTGACGCACTTAAAATGACCAAATTGAGACATATTCATTTCATTTTATTTGGTATTTGAGAAATGTTTTTGTTTATGTACTATATACATACATATGTATGTATCTTTTTTAATATATGTTTTCATTACCTTTTTGTGTTTGTGATCACAGTTTAATTTTTTATATGTTTATACAATTATTATTTGAATAAATTTTTTTTGTTTATTATTATAATTTTGTTATACTTATTATTAAATTGATTTAATTAATTTTTAACTTTATGTTTTAAATTATTATATTGTATGAATCATATAAAATTTTAATTTTGTTAGATTGTATTTTTTATTTAATTTTTTGCATCATTTTATTAACATTTTCTAATTTTTATATTCTTTGTTCTGAAAATAAAAAAATGTAAGTCTTTATTTTATTTTTTATTAACTTTTTATTTCTAGCGAGTTTTTCGCGGTTTTATATATTTTTTTCTGATTTTTTTTATATATTTTATAAATTTTTATTTTGGTCTTAAACAAATTTTATTTTGTTTATTTTTAGTTTTGTATAAAATTATTATAATTTCTTCATTCATTTTAATTTCTCATATTTTACAGAATTTCGCAGAAATTTTTTTATCCAATTTTTTTTTTTTTGTTTTCCAAATGTTTTTCTTTTTTGTTTGTTCCTTATAAAATATTATTATTTTCTAAATATTTTCTATTTCAATATAATTTTTAAGTTTTTGGTTAATGTTTTATTTTATTAACTTTAAAAATTTTTATTTGTTTGTATTATGTTTTTTTGTACAAAATTGCCTCAACACTTTTTAATATTTTATATAATTTTGTTCTCAAAATTCCAGAATATTTTTTACTGTGTGTTAAATTGTTTATATCCTTAGTTTTTCTATTTGCTTTTTTTTATTTTTTTTTTATTTTTTTGTTTTGTTGCGAATTTTTCGATTTACTTGCTTACTATTTTTTATGATTTTTTGTTTTGTTTTTTGGGTATTTCTTGAATTTATTTTTTTTACTTTTATTTTATTTTATTGCCATAATTATCATTATTAATTATTTTTTTTTTTTGCATTTGCACTTTCTTATATCTCTTTAATTTTTACTTCTGGAATTTTCAGATATTATAATTTTTGTTATTTATTTTATTAAATTCAAATGAAGTGTTTCATAACTTAATTTTTTTAATAATTTAATGATTTATTACGTCTATGTTTTCTGCTTACTAGTTTTTCTATTTATTTATACTGAAATATATTATTTGTTTTAATTTAATTAATTTTTTATTGGCTTATTTTTCTAATAACTCCTTAATTTTTTTCTTAATATCATTTTTTATTGCCTTTTTTGTCATATTACGTTTACATTTCTTTACCGACGTTCGCCAGCCGCATAGCTCTAGTCTATAACCAGCTTTTAATGAGGCTTAAAATATATGCTAATTTTAGCATTCTCTACATTTTTGCTAGTAGCTCCTGTTTTGGGTTTTTATTAAGTAAAAAAGTAGTTTTCCATTTATTATAATTTTTTTTATTAATACTAAATTTTATTTACGCTGCTACTCGCTGCTTTTGGCATTTTGTTTACCCAAAAATTCTTTAAAGTCATTAGCCAACTGTATAATTCAAGCAACAGCTAGTTTGGCTGGTAAAAAAGTTATTTGAGAAAGAAAATACAAATAAATACCATTTAAATTTACGTCATTTAATGATTAAAAATTCAATTCGGAGAAGATTTGGCAAACAAGTTCGTGAAAGTTGCCGCCGTCTGGGTGACGCCAAAAATCCCAACTGGCGGCGATACGCAGAAAAATACAAAAACAGAAAATATCAAAAATACAAAATAAATAACAAAAACAACAACAATCCAAAACAAAACCAAAAAATTTTCAACAAAAAATTCAAATTTATTGAAATCAAAAATTAAAGACAGCAAAGGAGAAGAAGCGTCACACAGCCACACAAACATACTAACACATATGCTTATAAAAAGTGGGCAAAAACTTTTGTGGATTGATCGTTGGCTAAAATATGTGTACCAAACTAGTTAGTTTGCGGCTATTGGCCTCTTTCGCCGCGTTCAGGGTCGCCGGCAGCGTTGGGGCAAACCCAGTCCATCTAGCACGCCGCGCAGCAGCACAAAACATTTCAAAACAACACTGCGCTAACAACGGTCCGAGAAGTAACGGCTTACCTGGCGTGGCGTAAAAAATTTTAACTTTGATAAATAAATTAAAATTTGACAAAAAATAAATTCGAAAAAAAAAATTGTAAATAGGACAAAAAATATTTTGCTTGCATGCAGTTAGTGTCGCAGATTTTTTGATACGAGTAGTGAGTGGCTAAAAAAATATTTTTTTTTTCAAAAATAACAATTATTACTTTATTGGCATTTTTTTTCAATTTTATTTTCCCGAATACAACATATTTTCTTTAAAATAAAAAAATTTTTCAAGTTTTTAAAAAATTGTATAGAATTTTTTTTTCAAATTTTTTTAATCTTCTTCCATTTTTTTTTATTTCTTTGCTGTGCATTTGCCTTAATTTAAAGCTGACCTTGTTGTCGCTCAGATTCGCTGGAATGCAGTGCTCTAAATCTAACGTTTCGGGTTCTAAGTTCGCGTAGCCTTTTTATGTTGTTCTTGTGCAATTATTCTATTACGCTTTTTGTATTATTGTTATATTTTCAATCGCACTCCATTAATTTTGGAGGGAAGTGGAAGTTTCTGTTGTTATTTGCGTCGCATTTCTGCAAGTCGACCTTGACCAAGAGTAACTTAATAGCCGTTGCATTGCCACTGGAGATGTCTATTAATTGCGCTATTATGCGAATCAATAATAAATAATAATTTGTGCAATACTTTGATGGGCTTTGCCTATTGAGTGAGTCTAAATTTGGGTTTTGTTAAAAAAAAATTTAATTTAGCAGCGGAAAGCTGCGACTATTTTTGATCCATAAGTAAATTTTATTATAAAAGAGAAGTAGAGTGCTTTCAGTACCATTAGAATAAGGATAACGGCCTTTAGGACTTTAAAAAATATATAATTAACACAAGGGACGGTGCAGTAACGTATGAAGTTAACAACAGATTCCACACGTTTTTCACAATCTTTAGTACATGAATAATGTACTTACGCTACGGTATTAGATCATAACGATATATTAATTATAATTGGTTTCAATACGGCTAGAAAAGCATGATCCCTAATTTCACTAAGATATCTCACAAATTAGCGATGTTTGGGATATACAGTCAAATAGAGAAGGAGTTAAGCTCCTATTCGGTATATGTGGCTAGAAAAGGTATGGACTGACTTCAACCGTTTTTATGGGTTTCAAAATAGTATTACATGGAAAATAGGCGTGATGGTAACGTAATGCAAATGTTACGAATGAAAATGGAATGAATGGATACTGTAATTTTTTAATAAGGGATTTCTCACAAAAGTGGGCGGTCTCCCACCCATTGTCAATTTTTTTAACTGCGCATGATCAAAATCTTTTAATATTATATAATAGGCGTATCACACCTTACCTAATAGTACTCTTCTTTCAAAATAAGTGTTCTTCCAAACAATTGTCCAAATGTAACAACTTTTACATTCGTTACAGTGAAAAACAGCATCGACTTAAAATAAATCCTACTACACCCGTCAACATAAATATTTTTTTTGTTTCTGTTTTCATGCTCAAATTCTAATTCTAGACATTGAAAACCACTGGAATTTTTATTTTTAGCTTTTAATGTTTGCTTTTAGCTGATACGAATGGGCCTGATTTGCCCATATGAACATAAACTAAATATGGAAAATAATTCTACAAAAGCAAACTTTAATAAAATAAAATTTTTCTTCCTTATTTTTGGTGTAGGAAAAACTGAAATTTAACATGCAGAAGTCAAACCCACAAATGGTGTCGACCGGTGCTATTATCACATATGTAAGTTACATAATTTTTCCGCCCTAATTGCAAGTTGCACTAATAATTGTAGGTTAGGTTGTGTGATTTGGCATATAAAGACCACTTTTCTGCTTTTGGTTATATAACTATTCTTCCTGGATCTACAGTCCAACTAGCATAAAGTTGAAAGTAAATTGAAAGCAGCTTTATATTTTAAAGTCTTGGATGGTATTATTTTTTTTAAGCCTAACGAACACAGTTGACCATAATCTGTTCATATTAAATTTGGTATGTATGTAATATAGTATATATGTCTGAACACGCTTAATATTTTCGTTAATAATTTTATTTCAGAGAAGTGGCGAATGGAAAACATGGTGAAAACATTGCAAACTGCTGATAAATATATAAATTGCAACTGAATTGCAATTGAAAAAACCATAGGCCGATTCTTAATTTGACTAATATTAGAGTAACAAAATTGTTGAGGCGGCAAACTTTTCTAAAAATGCACTAGCGTTTGCTGCAGTTTTGCCTAACACTGTATATATCTAGATGTTCATACGTTTGTGTTGATTAAAACCTATAGGTATATTTTCTATTTTTTTTTGTATAATCAAATATATTTTTAGAATACAAATCAAATTAATGATGCTGTCACCAACAATTTAAAAATTATTATTATATTTTTACTCATACCTATATTCTTTGAATGCATATTTATATGTATGTACTTCGTATATAAACGTTTTAAAAATAAATACAATTTTTTCGTATACAAACCTTTTAAAAATAAATACAATTCTTTAGAATATTACTATAAAAGCGAGTTTTTATGATGAAAATACTGAACATGCGGTTTCAAAGGTTAAAGAAATTGTCAAAAAATAGTTAATTGTAATCTTATTTATAATTTTTACGACTTGTGACTTCGCTTTTCTGTGAGAACTTTTTTCCATGTCTGCTCAGTACTGTTTCTCTATAGCGTTATTTTTATCTGCAGCTCAATATTGAAATCAGCCTGACAAACTAACTGCTAGTTTGAAGTTGCTCACACTTTTTTGCAACGATCAGGCTCTACACTTAGAATATATATATATATATATATTGTATATGTACATACATAGCTGCCATACAAACATGATTGACCAAAATCAAGTCCTTATATGGAAAACTTTTTTTTACAAGATAATATCAGGATATTTTGCATAGATTAATATCCGAAGCAACGTTACAATTTTCAAACATATTGTTCAGATCAGACTACTATAGCATATGGCTGCCATACAATCTGACCGATAAAATCGAAACATTTTATGTTATTAGCAATGCACCTGTGAGAGGTATTATTATTAAAATTTGACTTGAAATATCTGTATGTTATATTTACATACTCCATTAAATTTACGAGCATCAAAGAACTTTTTAAGCTTTCATTCATTAAATTAAGTATTTATATGTACGTATGTATGTATGCATTTAAAGAATTGTAGACTTGCGTTATAAAATCCAGACTTATTGTGTAGAATTCTAAACAGCCGCAAAGAGAGCAAAATGTTCAAGTCAAAAACAAAAAAAAAACAATTATTTGAGACCAATCAATAAATTTAAAAGCAAAACATGTCTATGCAAAGTATGTTATGTATGTATAAAAGTATACATTTTTTTCTGAATATATGAATTTTTGTGCATAAACCAAACACCAGAGGCATATCCGCTGAACAATAGCTGCGAAACACTTCGATTGATTTATAGTCGTTTTTATGACGACACTTGATCATATGTATGTATATCTTTTACTTTTTTTTGATAACTTAAGAGTAGCAAACAACATTTTTACAATTTCGATTTCTCCTGGTGCTGCTAATTTTTTGTGGCTTCAAAAAATGTAACAATTGAATACTTAATTTAGTAATGTACTTGGCTGCATACAAACAAAAATGCGCATGCGCGGTTTGCAAATCTACAACCGTTCATTAATATCCTAAGTGACCGGCTGTAGGTCCATCTGACTTCTGGGACGTCGTCAGTAATGGTCAATAGAACAATTTATGCAAAAGACATCTTATATCTTGAATTGTTATGAGGACTCGAATTTGAATTAGTATACGTTGTGCCACCTGTGAACACATGTATTTGATACTACCCGACCACTTGCAGTATTTCCACTTCCAATGAATTAATAGGGCCTGAGAAAAGCTTACGAACCCAGTATGGTTACTTACGTGCGTCTGGTCGCTAGACTATGTATTTAGAACCAAAGACAAACACATATTTTTGTATAATTTTGATTTTATTATTGAAAGAATATGAGCATGGTTAGTTATCTATGGTAATTACTAATATGTGATATGTGAAAAAAAAATAAATTTAAAAAAAAATATTAAAAAAAAAAATTATAAAAAAATAATAATAATATAGGATAATTTTATAGATTACAGTAGTATTTGAATTAATTGTAAAACATGTTTAGAATATTAAGCAATACTTTGCATACAAATGTTCTAAAAAAAAAATATACATATTCTTGTTTTAACCTAATCTAGTTGTTATTATTGTTGTAGCGGCAGAATTTTGTCGAGTTCACAGTCCTTGGCCGGAAAAAATCCGGGTCCGTTCCGGTTACGTAAACCCGACTGTTATAGAAACGGAACCTAACCTAGTATTGACATATGGCTATAATGGTATATAAATTTATTTGTATAGTTATTTGTATTTTGTACTCGACAATTTTTATTAAATTTTAGTGAAGACGCTTATTAATCGACGCCAGAAGGATCAAAGGCGGCCTTTACCTTCTTGACGCTGCGCTCTGCGCTACGTGTCAATAATTGTTTGCCGTAGCATACAACTTCTATATTTCCGATGGTAATGCAAAATACGCTGTCTTGCTTCGGTATCGATCTTAGACGGTCATCTTTGCCTACCATTTTAAATATATTTTTCGTTTCCAACACAACAACACCAATCAATCCCACCAAGGTTTCGCATTTTGATGCCAGTACTTCCATTTTAGCCCCATGCAGATCAGTTTTCATCAACAATTGACAAATGGGATCGTGACCTTTCTCATATACTGTGGGCAGAAAATCACCAGGACGTATACCCAGCGCTTCACGCACGTAACATCTCCAAACACGGTGTATTGTCATTGCTTCTAGATATGTCATCGCGGTTTTGGGTAATGTGTTCAAACCTAGTGTTCGATATTGACGTCGTGGTATCGTAGTAGACCTTCTAACTGGATGTCGCCTACGACCATCTATATTTCTTGAAGCACATCCTCCTTCCAACATTGTAATGTGTTCGGGATTGATGTTTATATCATTACGCTGCGGCACCGCTATCAATTCGTTAATCATATCTTGAATAGTGTGATTGTTGCCCATTTCTTATATTTTCTTTAAGCGTTTCTAAATTAAATACTTTTGTGAAATCTAAGACCACTTCGTAATGAAAATCGAAGTATATCAATGCTGACATTACACATGGCATTGCCATATTATAATCAGCAAAACAAAGTATTGTTAAAATTTTATCACACATTGACGCAGCATATACATTGCTCAAGATATTTTTAGGAAAATGTGGCAAAGTTAATAGAAGTGGAAGTAAAACATAATGTCTGTAGACTACATAAAATGAGATAAATATTTTTATTTCTTGATATTCCTTTTTAAATATTCAAATACTTTATGTATTCGCTTTTCTATCCATGAATGCGTTTTTCGAATTGGCCGTTGCAATAAATATTAAAACAACAGTCAGGTTGTCAGGTGGCAAGGATGATGAGTGACACATTTGGTCATCGTAAAGGGGTTATACCATGGTTTCGGATCATATTATCCATGACACGTGCTGATGCTTAGGAGTGCCTAATTTTGTAAATGTTTTTGCTGCTTCTTAAATAGCCTTTTAATAACGGTTCACAATAAATTTGTTGTGAAATAATAATTTCAAATCGGCTTGCGTAAAATTGTTAAATTTCATTAATTGTGAAGTGAGGATTTCATTTATTGTCCAAATATTTTGGTTTTTTAATTCTTTTCGCTTACAAAATGGATAAATTGTCCCATAAAATATTTCATTATTATGCAGTGCTGAAAAAGTTGTAGCAATAATTGTACTTTCTTTTAAAGTGTAGCATAAAGTATATATAAAATATATATATTTTTTTATTAATAATTTTTTATATAATTTTAATTTTAATTTTTTATAATTAAAGGAATATGGTACTATTTTGTTGAATCAGCCTTTTTCTTATTCGCATTTGTTTACGTTGCATCATCAAAACAAAAAGTGCGTTGACAGGTGAACAGCTGATAAAAGCACGCCCTGCCTAAACGAATCAAAACAGTTTTTAAGCAATGATAATTTCGGTAAATATGTTTGAAATAATTTGCTTTGCTTATATTTGTTAATAATTAAAAATCTTTCAGCAAATATAACTTATTACAAAAGGAGTAATAGAAATGTTTGTGCTCGCTGAATTGAAGGATACTATACGAATAGCGCCGGATCAATTTCATTTGAAATTGGTTGAAGCGATACGCGACGAAATTAACCGGAAGTTAGCCAACAAGGTGAGCAATGTGCAATATCCAGCTATATTTTACAATACAATTAAACAATCACTCATTCTAACTCTTTAGGTACTGTTAAATCTTGGTCTTTGCATTGCGCTCAAAGATATAGTTTCTTTGAAAGACTCCATTATATTGCCCGGCGATGGCGCTTCACACACCGAAGTGCTGTTTCGCTACATTGTCTTCCGTCCCACCATTGGTAGCATACTCACAGGTAAAATACGTAGCTGCAGTCGAGAAGGTGTACACGTAACATTGGGTTTCTTTGACGACATATTGATACCACCGTCAGCGTTACAACACCCCTCCCGCTTTGAAGAAGCTGAACAAGCTTGGGTGTGGGAATATCCGCTGGAAGATGGTGCAAAACATGACTTGTTTATGGATATCGGTGAACCTATCAAATTTCGTGTGTCACGTGAAATTTTTGAAGAGAGCTCACCCATTGGACCGCCTAAAACAGATGTACAGCAAGCAAGCACCTCAGCATCGGCATCAGCGGCGGTGGCAGCCGCGTCATCGCAACAAAAAGAAGTTAAAACACCTTATAAAATAGTGGTACGTTGCATTGTACGACAAGTATTTGTTGAAATTTCTTTTTAATTATATTATTTAAAGGCTGCCATTAATGAATCTGGTTTAGGCGTGTTGTCGTGGTGGGATCAACAAAATCAGGGCGCGGAAGAGGGTGACGAAAATGAAGATGAGGATAATGCGGAATATGAAAATGACGAAGATGGCGAAGGTGCCTATGAGGAATGAAATAAATTTTTTATATACAAAAAACAAAATGTATTTTCTATATTTGAGCTGTGTTAAGTGAATAAGTGACTTGTAGTTCAGTGTTGTATTATGGTAAGATATTGCTAAAATATTTTTGAAAACGGGGTTTGTTGTATTAAAAAGTGATATCTTATTAAATTGTTCAGATCGGACAACTATAGCATAAAGCTGTCATTCACTTTTCAAGATACAGATTTTTTATGCCATTTTGTGAAGGGTATTATAGCTTCACCGCAGTCGATGTTAACATTTTTACTTGTTTATGCTGCAGTATCCAAATCCGTTCCTACAAATAAAAAACAATATTTCACTACGGTGATTTTTCATTTTGAAATATTTTATTTTCAAATTCGCATTTCATTTGTGGTCTTTGCATGCTTTTACTTAATTTGAAACAATATTTATCATAGCTGCTTACTAAGATTATTTTTTGTTTATTTTTTTATCACTTAATTCAAAAACAGAGTATCTTTTCAATGTTTTGTATACGTATCCAATTTTATTTGCTTTTTTCTTTTAAGTATAAAGCAAAATATATAAATTTTTTTTTGTTGAAGAGCGTTCTAATTTCATATTTTTTCGTCTTTCAACACTTGTACACTGTATACGTCTTAATATCTTCATAATTCAAAATTATTTGAAAAGTTTTTAAATTTGTAATTCACTTAATATTTACTTGCATTTTTTACACAACTAATTTTTACGCTACATTTACAATCATGCTGTCTGCACACACTAAAATGTAATCCATAACACATTCATAAATATTTTATAAATAAATTAATTAAAAGTATGATTTCGTTATTAAATTATATTTAGCTTAAAGAGGTTTGCACTATAATGTGTATTGCACAATTTTAGAAAATCAGTAATAACGCCCCATACTTAGTTTTATTTAATAGAGTTTTTTTTCGTAATATTTTATAAATTTTTCCTTTGTTTTTAATAATGTGTGCTCATTCTAGATTTTTAATTTATTATTTATATTACAATTTATTTTTGTTTATGCTAAAAGTTATTTTGTTTAATATCAATTGCCAAATTTAATGTATTTTTATTTTTTAAACTACATACATTATTCATGATTCAGAGAAAATTTTGTCTTTGTTATTAGATTAATGCTTTATTTTTCTATTTTTTCTTTGTTTCGCTTCTTATGACATTTATTTCAAGCTCCACCATATATTCTTAAAAAGCTTGTTATTTTCATTTCTTTTCACGCTTTTTGTTAGTTATTTATTTTTTATCATCTATTACTTTGGTTCGTCTCAAAAACTAGCTTCTTTAGAGTTTTTCTGATTTTTTTTCTTATCTCCTTTTTTGCTCTTGCTCTCTCCTTTTATATATTTATTTAAGAGTTTTTCCTATATTTTTTATATTTTAATCCCATTTTCTTTATTTATAAACATATATATATTTTTTTCAAATTATTTTATTCACTGTATTTGTATGCGCGCCTCCTTTTTCAATTCTGTCCAATTTCTCATCACTTTGGTAGATTTTTATATTTCTTTAGTTTTTGTTGTTGTTGTAGCAGCATAAAAATTCCTGAAATAGTTTTAAGTAATGCTACTGGGTTGTTGTTGCTTGGTCGGATAAATACTTGGTTCCGGTTACATAGATTTTTTAATGGGAACGCACCTTACTTGGGTAGCTTACTTTGTTTTGATATATATTTTAATTAATTTATTTTTTTACTCCTTTTTTATTTACATGCTGCGGTTTGCAATCTCCAGTTTCAATTGTTTCCACTTTTTTGTATGGATATATTTTTTCAATACCCTTTCAATTTTTGTATTTTCATTATCTTCCATATATTCATACGTACTTTTATATATTTTTTTCACTTTATTCTTAAAATTTCCTTTTTTTCTTTTTTCAGCTGTCTCTCTCACTTTGTCCTTTTTCACTTTCTACCTATTTCTTGTTGTCTTAATTTGTATTACATTCTTTGGTATGAGCTTGTCGACCTGTTTCATTTTAATATATCATATTTCCTCATTTCTTTTATATTTTTCCATAATATTTTGGTGCTCTATTTTGATCTGTTTTTTCATAAGTTTTCCATTTTCTAACTAAGAGTTTGATATATTTTATATATTCAACTCCTTTGGTATGTTTTCTTCAACAAGTAACTACGCTTTGTTTGTTGGTAATCTACGGCAAAGTTTTAAAGCTTTTCCATGCATATAAAAATGTAGGTTTTTACGCTCTTATTTTTAATACAGTTATTTATGCTCGCTCCTTTTATATTTTTTATATATTTATTTTATTTATTTGTTGCATGTTAAACATTTATATTTTAGTTAAACATTTATTTCATATTTTTATCGCTTAAGCTTTCACTTCTCTCGTATTTCGAAGCTTTCAATACTCTGCATTAACATTTCGCTCTGTTCAAGACATTTTACAAGTTTTCTTGGCATCAAATTTATCAAAATGAAGAATTTTGATTTGGCAAGCTTTACTACAATGAAATTCGAATTTTTTTAAAAATATATTAATTCAGTTTTTCAAAATTTGTTTTTAATAGAGTGTATTTCGAGCTTTACTTGTTCTGTTTTTTTGTTAAAGAATTTATGCCATTAGAAAATATTTTATTTTCATAGCTAGTACCTACTCATAAAATTTATTTTGTAGTTTTTGCGTTCTTTATTTATATCTATATTTTTTAATTTTAAATTTGCAATTCGTCTGTAGTTGAGTATTTTACAAGTTTTACTTATTGTTTTTGGTAAAGTTTTAAAAGAACAGCGTTAAAGAGTTAAAGCTAAATTGCAAGTGCTTTTTCAAAGCTTTTTTAATGCGTCAAAATTTAAGTCGTTCCTCATTTACACTATTGTTTTAATGGATAAAGAAGTTATAACATCAAAACATCTAAATAAATTATTAAAAAAACGGAATTATATATTTTTTTAATTAAAATATATTTAAAAAAGTAGAACGATAAACAATTTCTTATATATCTGAAAACA